CCTAAACCATTCTCGCTTTTCATGTTCTTGCATCTGTCTTTGTGTGTCCCCTTTTCTTCGTTTTTAGTGAGAATGTGTTTTGTAAGAAATGAAAGTAGGCTCTGAACCCACCTCCCACATTTCTGCAAAATGCACGCATGCATACACATAAACTGGAATCGTGACTGCTGTACCCATAGTCACAGTGAGAGAGCAAAAATACACCAGTGCAAGGGGTTATAGACTTCTCTGCAATCTCACACACACACACACACACACACACTCCAGTGTTTGCAGACTTTAAGGAGCACAATGCTCAGAGTGCAGCCGAAAGACAACGGGAACACAATCGCACATTACAGGGTTACACAGCCGTGAGCGCAGAGCAGGTGAGAGGAACGAAAGTGGAAATGAGGGTAAAATGGAGCGAGAGGCAGAAGTGAGAAGAAGAGACGTGAAGGGAAGCAAGTGATGACTAGTGAGAAGGAACTCGACTCTCTCGCTGTAAAGGCGTTCACACAGGGCTGCTTCCTGAGATCAGCTTCCTTTCTTCTGAAAACAAGCCCGATCCTTCCATCTGTCCCGCAAACACACTCACTGATCCTTCTTCAATACTTCCTTCTGTTAGAGGAAGACATCCAGGACACTCTCTACTTTTTATGTGTTGCTATTGTCAGACGCTGTGCTGAAAATCTTGGCCTGTACACAGCACAGTATATGCCTTTGTTTATCTCATGAGTAAAGCTGGCCCGTCGTTCGGCTTGTAGCTTCGGATGCGAGTTGATCTGAGGAGATCAAAAGATCCCTTAAATACTTCAGTCTGATAACGTTCATCATCTTCTCTCAGAGAGGGCTGTTTGTTAGGATGAACTGTAACAGTAAATGCATGTAATGATTCAAGCTAATCCCTGTATCAATTAAGATTGTCACTTTTTAAACAAGTGAAGGTAAAACAAATTTGAATTACTGCAGAATTCAAGCTGCAATTAACGACATGGTACAAAAGTGGTGAATGCCCAGCTGGAGCTGACCATCTCTTTCATGGCAAAGCTGAGGTTATAAGTACAAGTATGCTTTTATAACTACAAGGCAAAAAAAAAAATAATACAAACAGCACAGTAGAGAGGACACACACTACAGCACACAATAGAAGGAAGTGACAATAAAATCTTTGAAATGCGGTATAGTGTCATTTTTAACTTGCCAAATATCCAAAGATATTCAATTTACAATCGTATAAGAATCAAGAAAAGCAGCAAATCATCACATTTCAGAAGCTGGAAACTATAAAAAAAAAAAAATCAAAAATGAAGTGATTATCAAAATTAACTATTTATTTAAGGTCAAATCTAAATTATCAGCAAAAAAAAAAACCCTTTACATTTGAGCATAACTTTAAAATATCCAGTACGAAGCCTAGTATTTTTTCTAACTATATTAGTTAGTTGTACTTAGCCCTTTCTAGCTGCTTCCATTAAATGGTTCACACATTCTGACCTTTCCCACGGTTGCATTTAACATTTATTATATATTCACTCTGTGTTTAAACACTAAACTTGAAATTATCCATCATTTAGTAGTGCTCCAAATGCGGCAGTGAGTACATCATGAGTAATTCTTCCCCATTCAGAGTCACCTGCTTTACTTGGTGATGATGTCCTATTGTCTTAGTGTGTCAAGGTCAAGCACCGCTTATGGCCAAAACACTGTCATTGTCACACTGACACAGTGGCGGTTTAGAGCTGCAGTCAGCAGCCGAAGGACACTTGATGTTTTTGCAAGTCATCTCATGGGCTGCAAGAATGGAGCGGGAATGCAAAGTGGCACAATTACTGATTTCACTGTCAAAGAAAAGTCATTTACAAGTAAACTCCAGCTGTAGCAGAGTATTCAAATTATCAAAGGTGTTCCCACTGTCAGTATTGCACAAGCGCCTCTCCACACCAGTTATGTAAACAATCTACAGAATACATCACTCAGCCACAACAATTAAAACCACCTCCATAATAACATGCAGATCCCCCTCATTCATACAGCTCTGAACCCCTCGAGGTGTGGACTCCACAAGACCTGTGAAGGTGGCCTCTGGTATCTGACACCAAGACATTAGCAGCAGATTCTGTCCAGTTCTGATGCTCATGTGCCCATAGTAGGTGCTGCTCGCTGTACTTTTTATTATGTGGCATCACTCTGACAAGAAAGTAAATGTCTTCGCATCTTCCAAAAGAAATTCATCCTCCAACTTCCTGTACTAGAGAAGTGAATCAGGCTATGAACGTTGCTCGTTAAAGGACAGTTTACAAGCTCCACTGTAGGTATGGAGAACAGAGTCACCGACACAATAACACCTCAGGAGCTTAAAAACACACTGGAATCTACAGTATGTATCAGCAAGGTGCTGAAGTTACTGCACGGTCTTCAGAAAGTGGGCCTTGTTCTCGTAAGGTTCAAACTGGCTCAGACACATCCATCTAAACTAACTCAGACCTGAATCTGAATGGACCTCAGAGCAAATGGAGCCATTTTAAAGCTTGTGTTAGATATTTCCAGGATTTCTCCTCATAAATGAGGTTTGATTTGAAACAAACCTGCAGATAATTACTGTATAATGCATGGACAATTCTTATTTTGATGTTATTATTTTATGTTATGTTTGATTCTGTGGTCATATTTTTAGTAAAATCACAACACCAAGTAGGGAAAATCTGTCGCATACAACCATTGTTTTGGTGGTATGAGACACAGGATCATTGCTGTTAAATATTTAGTTGTAATGTTACACCTACACTAAGCCCATCTGAGTGCTCCTCAGTAATCTGAATTGGAGTTAGCGGCCTGCAAGTTTAACTGAGGAACTTGTGACCTTTATGTTTGTACACTTGACTGTGTTCATTCTAAACTTTTGCTAAACAGCTGAAATGTTTAAAGCTGAAATGAAACAATGTTTTATGAAAGTTGGAATTTTGTATTTTGCTCTGAGAGCTGGGAGAGAGATGTTTTCATTACACACACACACAGAAAGGCAATGAATATATGCTAAACGTCCTGAACTCCTGCAAGTAATATTATATTTAGAACTATCATCCCTAGTGAGGATTCGCAGATTTGTAATGATACCTCTGTGAGTGCTTGTTGAATGAAACAGGCTGTCTGAGGGGACACCTCCCAAGGGGTCTTCCCTTCCACCATGAAGGCGTCCAGCGTGGCCTTCTCTAAGATGACATCAAAAGACGTGTCGGGAAAGCTGAGCCGGCGCACGTCCATCTGATGCCAGGTCATACCCGGGCAGTCGCTGTACCTGGCACTCATTGCACTGATGCACACAGCGGAGTAGTCTATGTTGGTGATGGAGTGGTAGCCTGCCCTGTACATGTCACTGCTCATACTGCTGTTTCCACACCCTGAGGAAAAAAAATGAGAGAAGAAGAAGTGAATACAAGACATGTTGGGAGTAGAACGAACACAGAAGTGAATGAGGAAATAGCAGAAGAAGTCCAGAGAGCAGGGAGGCTGAATCCAACACGTCTCTGATAGCTCAAATCCCCAATATGGTTTTCAGCATGAGTAAATGATAGTGTGATCAATATAGCAACGGCATGTGATTAAACAACTAGCTGCTTTTATGACAACAAACTTGGCTATGACTAGGACCACCTCGTGTGATTGATGAGACGGAGACGAGCACACACACACACACACACTCACACACACACAGTCTCTATTTGATTAAGTTGTTGCTCAGTCATGAGCAACAAGCAGAGATGGAAACCTCCCACTCCGAGGACCATATGGGGCTCATATAAAGTACTTTCAGGGACTGGAGCCTATTTTGACATGATGCCAGGCTTCAAAAACATCATCACCAGGAGCAAGGTTTCAACTTGAAGTTTGTCTCTGGGTGACAGATAGAAGAAAGCCAAGGAGAGAAATAAGAGAGGACAAAAGAAAAGTGAAGATAGATTCTTCTGTAGCAAGACAAGATGAAAATAATCTACTGAATGCAGCATCACACCTTTTGGATCAGATGACTCATAGATCATGTAGACGGAGGAGGAGGAGTGGGTGGAGAAGACAGGCAAGAAAAGAGGGAAAGAAAGCAGTAGGAGGAAGACTTGGGGGAATATACACACTACCTTCAAGCACATATTCAGTTTCAGTAAAGATGAACTCCATGTGATGGACTACAAAATGGTCATTTTATCTTCAAGTGTCTTGCATGTGTGTGTATATCTGTGTTTAAAGGTATTTGCCTGGTAGAGGGAGAGAGAGAGTGTTAGGTGGGGCTGTGACTTCCAGCAGCGCATTGTCACCGACACCTCCGTTGTGAACGTGTGGCTGGCGCTTGTTATCGCATTGCTGCTTCCACTAATTATCAGCTTTCAAAAGCACGTGTGTATGTGTGCATGAGAGTGTGTGCACAAGTGTGTAAGACTAATCCAGTTGGCACTCTCACACACTAAATAAGACATGTGTAACCTCTTTAGAAGTGTGTGTGCATGCCATACACATACACCTTGTGGTGTACAGTCACAGCAGGCCTCAATTCACATGTATAGACATATGTAATAGTAACTTAAAGGCAGCAGATGTGAGAAACAACAGAGAGAACAGAGCTAAAATCATAAGTAGGGCAGAAAATGTAGTCATGATGTTCTAAAGCAAAGGAAGCCTGTGCCAAATACACACCAGTGATATTAGCTGCTTATGCATGTAAATGTGTGTGTGTTCCGGACATCAGAGGGCTGGAGCTGCGCTGTCCCCTGATGGCTTCAAAACAAGAGAAGTACTACAGTATTGTTCAAAATAATAGCAGTACAATGTGACTAACCAGAATAATCCAGGTTTTTAGTATATTTTTTATTGCTACATGGCAAACAAGTTACCAGTAGGTGCAGTAGATTCTCAGAAAGCAAACAAGACCCAGCATTCATGATATGCACGCTCTTAAGGCTGTGCAATTGGGCAATTAGTTGAAAGGGGTGTGTTAAAAAAATAGCAGTGTGGCATTCAATCAGTGAGGTCATCAATTTTGTGAAATAACAGGTGTGAATCAGGTGGCCCCTATTTAAGGATGAAGCCAGCACTTGTTGAACATGCATTTGAAAGCCTGAGGAAAATGGGTCGTTCAAGACATTGTTCAGAAGAACAGCGTACTTTGATTAAAAAGTTGATTGGAGAGGGGAAAACCTATAAAGAGGTGCAAAAAATTATAGGCTGTTCAGCTAAAATGATCTCCAATGCCTTAAAATGGAGAGCAAAACCAGAGAGACGTGGAAGAAAACGGAAGACAACCATCAAAATGGATCGAAGAATAACCAGAATGGCAAAGGCCCAGCCAATGATCAGCTCCAGGATGATCAAAGACAGTCTGGAGTTACCTGTAAGTACTGTGACAGTTAGAAGACGTCTGTGTGAAGCTAATCTATTTTCAAGAATCCCCCGCAAAGTCCCTCTGTTAAAAAAAAGGCACGTGCAGAAGAGGTTACAATTTGCCAAAGAACACATCAACTGGCCTAAAGAGAAATGGAGGAACATTTTGTGGACTGATGAGAGTAAAATTGTTCTTTTTGGGTCCAAGGGCCACAGACAGTTTGTGAGATGACCCCCAAACTCTGAATTCAAGCCACAGTACACAGTGAAGACAGTGAAGCATGGTGGTGCAAGCATCATGATATGGGCATGTTTCTCCTACTATGGTGTTGGGCCTATTTATCGCATACCAGGGATCATGGATCAGTTTGCATATGTCAAAATACTTGAAGAGGTCATGTTGCCTTATGCTGAAGAGGACATGCCCTTGAAATGGTTGTTTCAACAAGACAATGACCCCAAACACACTAGTAAACGAGCAAAGTCTTGGTTCCAAACCAACAAAATTAATGTTATGGAGTGGCCAGCCCAATCCCCGGACCTTAATCCAATCGAGAACTTGTGGGGTGATATCAAAAATGCTGTTTCTGAAGCAAAACCAAGAAATGTAAATGAATTGTGGAATGTTGTTAAAGAATCATGGAGTGTAATAACAGCTGAAAGGTGCCACAAGTTGGTTGACTCCATGCCACACAGATGTGAAGCAGTTATAACAAACTGTGGTCATACAACTAAATATTAGTTTAGTGATTCACAGGATTGCTAAATCCTAGAAACAAAAACGTTTGTACAACATAGTTTTGTGTTTGTACAGTCAACGGCAGACACTGCTATTTTTTTGAACACACCCCTTTCAACTAATTGCCCAATTGCACAGCCTTAAGAGCGTGCATATCATGAATGCTGGGTCTTGTTTGCTTTCTGAGAATCTACTGCACCTACTGGTAACTTGTTTGCCATGTAGCAATAAAAAATATACTAAAAACCTGGATTATTCTGGTTAGTCACATTGTACTGCTATTATTTTGAACAATACTGTATGTCAGTACTGCTTTCCACATTCATATAGCTGGGCACTTTCTTTATGGATGACAGGAATGAGAATGTTCTAGAGTTGAATGACACACAGTCAAGAGGGTTTTTAGTAGGCAACTTTAACGTTACATACGCCAAAAGCAAAAAGCATCTTTTAAAAATATGGAGAAAAGGCAAATAAAATACATGTGAAAGCAGCATTCAAGATTCTTTCCAGCTCAAAAAGGGTCACAAATGACATAGAAAAAGGGGACTTCATCCTTTAACAAGCACTAGATTGAGGGTCTGGTGCTCAGCAGAGAGGGTTACTGCAATGCATGCCAGACATTGTTTCCAAAGGGGTTTCCCCGCTGACACAGCTACATATACATCCAAGAGTGTCTTCTTTTCCGTGCACTCGGCTCTGAGGAAGGGGTGTCACATGACAGAACATTCCTAGTGGCTTTCATGACAATTATAGTTGCCAGGCTGTCATCAAGAACACTATTCTCATTCGGGGTCTGCGACATCAGCTGGTGCCCCCACGACCTCTGACCTTTATACACACCTGTGCACTCTTTAACCTGCCTGCAGGCGCATATATACACTGCCAAACAAGAGCTCTGACAGGGTGTATTCTGTACAGTATAAGTGTGTGGTTGTGTGCGTGTCTGTTTATGTAACAAAAGCTTATTCAGGATACTAGACCAGTCCACACCAGTCTGGAGCCTGGAGTCTGTTTTTCCTCCAGCTGGAAACAAGGAAGCCAGAACCTCCTGATCGCAAGAGAGCACATCCTAACTGGAATATCCAGAGCGGCAGAGAGGGACGCTAAAGTTAGAGGTGTCATATCACCTCATTCTACTGGCTGTGTGAGTGTGTGTGCATGTTCTAGTGTGATGGAAAATTTGACTCCTGGTCTTAAAAATATCAAACCGCTCATAACAAATCAGGAATGTGTAAACTGTCTGTTAGTCATGTTTCCTTCTTTGCGTCCATTTATACAAAAGATTCTGGCCAAAACAACACGTGTGTGTTACTAACGCAGAGAGGAATGTTAGCCAAACATAGAGTTCCCTCCTGCAGACACAGCGACGTGCTATCCAACAATGGTATCAGGTTGCACGACCTGACTGAGCCTTTGATATTCAAAAAAAAAAAAAAAAAAAAAAAAAAAAAAAAACTGAACATGCGACTCTCACAGCTGTGGATTACACCACAGGAAAGGAAACTTATGAGGCAATCCATTTTAATAACACAGTAGTCCTCTGCTGTTCATAAACACCATCCAAATGAGCAGAAAAAAGAAAACATGACCAAGAAATAAGAGTTTTCAAAGAAATATGCATTCATTTTGCCCCGATTCAGGACGAGGCACTTGTGTTTGATTTGCCCAGAGACTGAGAACACAGAGGTGAGGACAGCAAAACTTTACACCTTTTGTTTGTGAGCTCTATGACACAGCAAGCCTCAGACAGTCAGTGGCATTTTTTCCACTAGGCTTGAATGTATTGTGTCTCAGACTGTCTTAAACCTGAATGTGCATTCATGAGCCACTTTATTAGGTACACCTGAACAATTGTATGCAATTCAGTGGAACACATTTGCCTTAACATCTGTGTTTATGAAGCTCAAAATGTTTCAGTTTTTAGTGAAATTGTCATAAATGTATAAATTCGATTATATGTTTATTAGTGAGGCCCAGTTAAAGGCCACCTTACATACTATTGTTCAGGTGTACCTAATTAAATTGATCTGTGAGTGTTTGTTGCTTGTAAGCTATAAGAAAGTTTAATAAAAGTCATTTGCTTATCTCCAATCATTCCGGATCTTTGACCTTGACTAGAAATCATATTAGGACCTTAGAACATTATGTTTGAGAACCCCTGCTCTAGAGTCCATCTATGGTCAGGAGGGGTGCTGGGTGGGGAATCCCTGAGAGTGAGCTGGCAGTGTGAAATATCAAAGCTGCCATCTCTGAAATGAGCTGAGCACAACAGTGGAAACTCCATGATGT